CTATGTAGCTCAGATTAGAGGCATGAGCCAACTTTGCCTAGCTGAAATAAGGACTTTTTAGTTCATTGTTTTGTTTTTCTGGCTTGTCATAGTATCTAACACATCACAAGTAATCAGCAGACACTTCTGGAGTTAATTATGGTGTGATGGTATATCATTGGCTGGATTTGAGGCAAAGGGCAGAATAATACCGTTGTGTTTTCCCAAAGTCACATTAAATGTTACATTTCCCATTAAGCCTCACAAGAGTGGATACATGCGCCTTAAACAATCCATGTGCAGGCAAAATTTCCTCCTGATGGCTGAGACCTAAGGTAGATTTACTGAGATGGTTTTGATACTTGTATCCAACCAGACTCTAAGCTTCTAAGTAAAAGACTTTTCCTCTATTTCCTTCACCAACTCTGGCTCATATATGCCATTCATACCGTAAGGCACTCAGTGTATATTGGTTGATCAGACTTGGATTTATCTGATATCATGAAATACATTGATATATAAAATCAGATGCTATTAAATTCTTTAGATTTTGGGGTTTTAAAACAATCATATAATTTTATGTAACAGGTATATATTCATTCTTGCTGTACTGCCTATCTGATTAATATTTAATACAAGTTTAAATAAAAAAGATACAGCACTCTAGATATCCCAAGATCATATTGTCAATATAAATCTGAAACTTTAACACCCTGAGTGCTTTGGGATGCAAGAATTAAGTAATCTTCCCAGTGGCTGTTCTAGGAAGGAAGTCTTTAAAAGAAAGAACACAAAGAACAGAATTATCTTAAAGAACACACAAAATTAATCACCAGAATTGACAGTCAAATAGACACTTTTCAAATGAAGGGATATATCTGGCCAATAATTACATTTAAATACATTCAATGTCTTTAGCCATCAGGGAAATGCAAGTCAAAACCACACCTACATTCTAACTATCCTGGTCAGAATGGCCATCATCAAGATTAAAAATTCTGATGAGGATGAAGTGGGGGAGGGTGCATAGACTCTTATTCACTGTTAGTGGGAATGTAAATTAGTCTATACACTATAGTGTGGAGATGGCTCAAAAACCTAAAAATACAACTACCATACAATTCCGCGACATCACTTTTCTGTATTTACCCACAGAATCAAAGTCAGTTTATACAGATACCTGCACGTCTGTGCTCAATGCTGAGCTATTTGCCTTAGCTAAGTTGTGGAATCAATCGGTCTAGATGCCCATCAATGGGTGAATAGAAATGGAAAAAATGGCATATCTAGTCAGCCATTAAGAAGAATGAAATGATGTTGTTAGTTAGAAAATGGATGGAACTGGAGCTCATCATGTTAAGTGAAATAAGTCAGTCCCACACTGACAAGTATCACACGTTTTGTTTTGCTTCTCATTACTGGAAGCGAAGAGAAATAAAATGAAAACCAAACAAATGAACAAAAAAACAGGTCATGAAAGTAAAGGGGAACTATGAGGATGGTGGAAGAAAATTGGGGAGAACAAAAAGTAATAGCAGGGTAAACACTGTCAAAGTACATTCTAAGTAGATTGTGTACATGTACAGAAATGTCATGAGTTAATATATGCCAATAAAAATAGATAATAAAAAGTAAATAAAGCATACTGACAACAGTTAAAAAGAAGAATGGACTATAGTTTTTTTTAAAAAAATGAATAAAGGAACAGAGAGATATGGGAGAGGCTGAAAAAAAATAAATGAGCAGAATTTTCATAGCCCAAATGCTTAGGATGAAATATGGTGATGATATTTTGGTGCAGAGCTACCCTGCAGAAACTCATTGCCTGTGGAATTATGGGAGCAAAAGTTCAACCCGTGGCCTTTATGGTCCTGTAATTTTCCTCCACTTCTCTTCCCACTCATCTCCTCAAATGATCCCATGAGGGTAGGCCCTGCCATATGAAACTCTGCAATGCTGTCTGAACTTGACCTTTCCTTCCCTACTTTATGATTTCACTCTATCAGTTTCTGCTTTCTCCTGCTGCTGTGCCTCTGAGGGTCAAATATAGAGCCATGATTTTCTGTTAGTCATTATTCAATGGGTACACTCAATAGGTATTGAGCATCCTCAAGATGTATAAGGCTTCATGCCTTATGTGATTTATGGTAGAGAACAATTAATGTTAATATTTGCCCTTGAAGAACAAATACCTCCTTGGCTATTTATCCCTGAAATACCAAAATTTATGGTGCTTTTCCTAAATATCTGGGCATGGTATACACTTTGGAATTATCTATACAATCAATGAACAATTAAAATTTATTCTTCTTTCTTGGCAAGGGTGGCTCATGCCGATAATCCTACCTACTCAGAAGGCTGAGATCTAAAGATTGAGGTATGGGGCCAGCTCCGGCAGGAAAGTCTCTTGAGACTCTTATCTCCAATTAACTGCTACAAAAGTAGAAGCAGAGCTGAGGCCCAAGTGATAGAGAGCTAGCCTTGAGCAAAAGAGCTCAGAGACAGTGCCCAGGCCCTAAGTTCATGCCCCAGGACTGACATACACACAAATATTATCATTCTCTATGTTTACATGATTCATTTTTGCATATTCTTTCAAGAAAATTAGAACAGGTTCCTAGTCTTAGAATAGCATGCACTACACATAGATAGCTAAGTGGTTTAATTAAACCAAAATTCACTAATGTCCGCATGTGCTTGAAAAAATAAAAGCTCATTGAATTTTCAAAATGGAAGGACACTGAAAAGAAAATTCCCTCGTGCTATTTTGTGAAATAAGGACCTAAATTACCTAAGTACAATTGACTCTCTCTGGGACAGTCATGTGCAGCTATGATCCTTTGCTTTTACTTAAACAAACAACTGTTAGAGCTTACGTCATGTTTGCTTGAGAAGAATGTGCTTGTCTGTGGCACATCTCTTCAGCTGCCCAGCACCTCGTAACCCTAATAAGATCATCCATCTTATTCTCCTGACATGAATGGGTCCCTTGTTTCAAGACATTAATATACTTCATGACCTGACATGGTGGTGCATGCTATATCTTCAACTTTCAGGGAGTAGGAACAGGAGGATTGTGAGTTTGAAGCTAGCCTGGACTATGGAGAAAAGACTTTGTTTAAACACACACACACACACAGAAACCAAAAGATGGAAATGAAAAAGAAATGGAATCCATGTCTGCTTTTTCACCTAGGAGACTTGGAGATATTGTATAGCATGCAGAAGCTGCTAAAATCCGGAGCCTGTGCAGAGGCACGAGAGGGAATGGCTTAGAATGAAGCCTCAGTAGGCAGGACGACAGCTGTGATGAAGCCTTTTCATTAGATGTGGGCATCCTACAGGGGAATAATGCTGTACAGAGAGGATATTATAGCTCAGGAAGTCTTTAAAGCTCCCTGTATAAATTGAGCGAGCTCTTCCATCTGGCACTGTTCCCCCTCCCCTCTTTTTTTTCAACAGGTCTTTTCCTTTTGTGTGTGTGTGTGAGAGAGAGAGAGAGAGGGCAAGAGTGAAAGAAGTTGCAATGTTCTGCTTTGCTGGCATAGGAATTTTTTTTCCTGTTGTCAAAGACTTTATTAAATTCCACCCCGGTTACTAGATATGATTCACAGGGAAAGTATCATAGCACACGTTTTTTTGCAACCTCAGATCAATTTGAATTACAGTTGGGCAACAAGAGAAGTTAAAAGCATGTGAAGCTAGGTGCTGGTGGTTCATGCCTGACTACTCAAGAGACTGAGATCTGAAAATCATGTTCTGAACCCAGCCCTAGCAAGAAGGTCTGTGAGACTCAACTCCAACTAACCAAAAAAAAGCCAGAAGTGTAGCTGTGGTTCAAGTGGTAGAGTAGTAGCTTTGACAAAAAACACTCAGGCATGTAGCCCAGGCACAGAATTCAATCCCCCAAACTGGTGTGTATACACACACACACACACACACACACACACACACACACTCATGCACACATGCACACCATTGGAATTGGGCACTGGTGGCTCATACTTGTAATCCTAGCTATTCAAGAGGCTGAGTTCTTAGGATTGCTGTTTGAAGCCAGGCAGGAAAGTGCATGAGGCTCTTATCAATTCACCAGTAAGAAACTGAAAGAGGATCTATGGCTTGAGTGATAACCTAAATCCCAGACCCTGAGTTCAAGCCCCAGTCTGAGCACTAAAAATAAAATAAAAATAAAAATAAGTGGCTATGTGGCTCAAGTGGTAGAGCGCTCACCTTGAGCTGAAGAGCTGAGGGACAGCGCCCAGACCCAGAGTTCAAGCCCCACAACCGATGAAACAACAACAAAAAAGCCCCAAAAAACAAAAATAAAAATAGTTATTTCTAGCAAAAGTTTTCTTCAAGCCACAAAAGCATAGTAGTAATATATCATACTTATATAGAATATCTGTGACTTATATAGAATATCTGTGAGTTCACAAAGCATATACAAATGAGTCTATCCTGAAATGAATATTTCTAGTGGCACTTCATTGAAAAGTTAATCTACAACTAAAATCATCGACATTGAAATGCCAACAATTGTAGTTTTGCAGGAAAAAATTAGTATACTCTGATGAAAAGGAAACAAAACTTGAACTTCAGTGCACATTCATTGATCAAGACACATTGTGTTTAGTTTCTGAATGTGAGGATACCTGAGATCTTGCGGAAGGCTCACGACACCAAATCTACTCTTTCCATTACAACGTGGTATTTATAAAATAAATGTGTTTAAACAAGCCAAAACTTATTCTACTGTAATATATATGTAAATATATAGAATAAAATGGAAGTAAAAATGTTACCATCAAATGTTGAATGCTGCCTCTCTCTCTCTCCTCCCTTTTTCTTTTTCTTCAAAACTACCTTTCCTTCCATTCCCTTTCTTCCACTCTCTCCCCTTTCTCCCTTTTCCACTTCTTTTTTTTTTAATTTATCATTGATGCAGGTGTTTACTATCGTCCAACTGCCATAAAGCTACAGCTTCTTTTTCCTCTTCAGAAAATTAAACCAAACACAAGATGAAAATGTGGTTGCTGGTCGGTCCTCTTGTTTTATTATCTTTTACAACTTGTCTAGCAGGTGAGAAATAAGCCTTATGTTACTCTCCATCAATTATGTCAACACAATAATCAATAGGTTGTTTCCATTTCATTAAATTTGTTGTATAAATTTAAATTCATATTTTCTTTTGACACATGGGACACAAATAGTTCAATTTTAATATTGACATTATTTTTCAAGATGTTTACGTTCAAGTAAAATTTAACATCATTTAGTGAACCTTGTACTGGCAAACATTTAAAATTTGAGTCTCTAGGGGGAGGAGAGCTATGGAGTAGCATTTGTCTATTCCTGGGAATAAAACCCAAGGATGGTCCATATGCTTGCTGTCATTTACAATGGAATTAGGAAGTTGAGCAACAAGCTGGGTGCTGGTGGCTGAGGCTCACATCTGTAATCCCGACTACTCAGGATGAGAGCTGCTGACTGAGGTTCAAAGCCAGACCAAGCAGACAAATTTGTGAGACTTTTCTGCTGACTGAGGTTCAAAGCCAGATCAAACAGACAAATTTGTGAGACTCTTACCTCCAATTAACCACCAAAAAGCCAGAGTTGGAGCGGTGGCAGTGCACCAGCCTTGAATAACAAAGCTAAAGAAGAGCAAGAGACCTGAATTCAAGCCCAGGATTGGCACACACACACACACACACACACACACACACACACACACACAAATTAGCAACAAGCTTAATAGTATATAATATTCTCACTATCCAGAAAATATAAACTTAATTACCTTAATTAAAGAATAAAATAGTAAATAGTAAAATATCATTAAAAGAATTATTAAGTAATGGATTTAAATATGTCTTCTCATTGTTCTTAATAATTTTTTTTATTTGTAGCTCAGTATCATGCCATTTTTGTATTGTGTTTAACAACTGATTCATTAAATTCATCAGTTTGTGAGGGGTTTTTGTTTGTTTTTTGTTTTGGTGCTTGAACTCAAGAGTGTAGGCCCTGTCCCTGAGCGTTTTTGCACAAGGCTAGTGCTCTACCAGTTGAGCCACAGCTCCACTTCGAGCTTTTTGTTGGTTAATTAGGGCTGAGAGTTTCACAGACTTTCTTTTTCAGTTGGCTTTGAGTCTTGATCCTCAGATCTTAGCCTCCTGAGTGGGCTAGGATTACAGGCATCAGCCACAGTGCCCAGGTTGAGAGCTCTTTTGAGCAAATGCAACACACTATTGCATCTTACACATTTTTCACCAGTCTAGTCAATTTTAGGAAGATTATGCTTAAAATAGTTCATATTTTGTTACATGAAGTAACAAACAATTCTGAGAGCATTCTAGTTGGAGGATCAGGAAGTATTACATTTCTGTCTGCCAAAGAAAGTTATAGCATACATTTCAGAGGTGTCTCCTACAATGACATGTCTGCTATATTTTTTATAGGAAAAGCACGTGTTTTGTAACAATTTTTCTAGTACCTTCATCTCAGTGACCTAATTCAATAAGTACTTGTTGAGTTGCTTTTCAGTCCAAAGTACAGAGGGAGCTCACCCTATCTGACATATCTTCCTGCTGCTCACATTCATGATGAACCTGAGGAACATTCTATTATGGTTCTTGTTCATTTATTCATTTGTTTTCCTCGTAACTGGTTTACTGGTACTCAAACTCTTGCTCAATTTTCTTGTTCACAGCTAGTATTCTACTACTTGAGTCATGTCTCCTTCCTGGATTTTTGCTGGTTAATTAGCTGTAGAGTCTCAAGAATTGTTATGGTCAGACTGACTTCAAACTGAAATCCTCAGGATTTCAACCTCCTAAATAGCTAGGATTACAGGCATGAGTCTCTGATATCTAACATACGTGTGTGTGTGTGTGTGCGCACACATGAGTGCGCATGTGTGCGCACGTTACTACTGGGGCTGAACCCAGACTGGCAAAGAAGAAAGAAAATATTTTGGTAATGTTATCGTCATTACATATAATAAATGAAATAATACGAAGGTGATTTTACTATATCCAAAATTCCACCCTGATTGTATTTATTGCTTTCATGCTATCTAATGTGAAGACAGGTCATAAACATCTATACAGATGTGAACATACATACTTTACTTCTAATCGTGAAGAGCCAGTATTAATTTTCACTGAGTAGCATCTGAGTTACTTTAATCATGTTTGAAATCACAATCAAATGGCTTTATGATCACAATTGTTTTTTTCTTTTTAGAGTTTACGTGGCACAGAAGGTACGGTCATGGAGGTAAGTTGACCAGAGGGTAAGCCTTTTTGATAGCTTTCTTCAATTAAATCATAACTTTTATTTTTGCTTTAAAGCAAATGACTACTACTAGATCAATTTGAAATTTTATCAGTATTTTTTCCTATGGTCATAGATTTACTTATGTTACTTGCTGAGTGAGGTGCAAGAGTCAGAATCAAATAGTATTGTAGTAAATGGAAAATATTGAATATAAGGAATATTCATTTTTTCTACATTCTTTGTAACAATGCTATTCTACTAAATTTCTTTCTTTATTTTTATAGTGAAACAAATCCAGGGTCCTGTACATATTAGGCAAACTCTATACTACTGAACTACAACACCTCTAGGCAACTAAATTTTGAATATTTTAAGTATCAAAACAGTATTTAAAATATTGTCACAGTGTGTGTGTGTGTGTGTGTGTGTGTGTGTGTGTGTGTGTGTGTGTAGGTCCTAGGGCTGGAACTCAGGGCCTGGAATCTGTCCCTTAGCTTTTTCTCTCAAGGGTAGTGTTCTGCTAGTTGAGCCACACTCCACTTCTCCACTTCAGCTGTTTGCTATTAATTAGAGATCATAGACTTGTCTGCCTATGCTGACTTTGAACCTTAGTTCTCAGATCTCAGCTTCCTGAGTAGCTAGAATTACAAGTGTGAGTCACTGGCACTTAGCTATATTTTATTGACAGTAAATAGGTTACCTATTACCTATGACCTGAAATGATTAGAGCATCAAAGTATTTGAAGTCTAATCCCTATGTTTTCTGTTCTCTTATCAGTTACAAGTGGTAAGCATGGAAATAAAGAGCTCCACTGTCTACAATACATTTTGGGACAATATATGGATTGTCCCATTTAGCAAGCTTACTACATTTCAAGAAAGCTTGCACCATTTTCCAGTCAGTGATGATTGCCATACTGTAAATATTATAAAATTTTCTATATTAAGATGCTTTGAAGTTTCATGGCATTGCTATTCTCCAATAGATCTTTCCAGAGACCCTTCTTACCCACACTTATATAAAATTATGTTTAATAACTAACTGATCAAGGTGACATATTTCAGAATGAGAAATGGAATGTATTTCAACACAGAGATAAGTGAAGAAAAATAATTCCCAATCACAAGCTATAATTTTACTTATACCTTCTAAAACAGCAGGATTGCTAGGGACCACCTCCACATAGTGAGAGATGTCTTCCCATTTTATATCCGACAATCAACTGATTGCATTAATTATAAAACTGAAAACTTCAGTGCAAAAAAGCATTCATGCTTGTCTGTCACTCATATTTATAAATTTTGCTGCAAATATTCATGTGTGATTTTTCTCTTAATCTGTGTGTGTATGTATGAAAGAGAGAAAGACAGAGAGAGAGACAGAGAAAGAGAGAGAGAGACAGAGAAAGAGAGAGAGAAGCAGAGAGAGAGAGAGAGAGAGCCAGTACTGGAGCTTGAATGCAGGGCCTGGCTGCTGTCCCATAACTTTGTCTTTTAAAGTTGGTGCTCTACCACTTGAACCAGCCTTTTGCTAGCTCATTGCAGAATCTCATGGATTTGTCTGTCTGGGCCAGCTCTTATCTCAATCCTTAGATCTAAACCTCCTGAGTAGCAAGGATTAGAAATGGGTGCCATTGGTGTCTGGCTCTCTTAATCTTTTTGAACCAGTTAAAGAATTGTAATTATTTCTACTAAACATACAACTACCCTATGATCTAGCAATTCCATTTCTAGGCATTTATCCCAAAGATTACAAACCAGGATACAGTAAAACCATCAGCACAACCATGTTCATTGCAGCACTATTCTCCATAGCCAAGGTATGGAATCAGCCCAGATGCCCCTTAATGGCCAAGGGGATCAAGAAACTGTGGTATATATATATATGCAATGGAACTTTACTCATCCTTTGAAAAAAATGATACTGAATCATTGCAAAGAAATGGGAGGACCTAGAAAAAATTATGTGAAATGAGGCCCCGAGAGACAGAGGCTGCATGTTTTCCCTCAAATGTGGAAGCCAGAGTTGGTTTATAAATATAAAATTAAATAAATAAAAATAATTAAATTACATAGTATATAATTAATACATAAATGCATTAATTTGAATACAGTAAATTTGGAGGAGAATTCAAACAGTGTAATTCCTTAGGAAGGCAAAATCATAGCTCAGCAAAATAAACACCAGTTGGAGTGTGGTCAAGGGGAGGGGAATAGATGAATAAAGAAAAATGGGACAGAAAGCAGTCAAAAATTCAGTATAAGGGCTGGGAAGTTGGCTCAGTGGTAGAGCGCTTGCCTTGCATGCCTGAGGCCCTGGGTTCAACTCCTCAGCACCACATAAGCAAAATGAAAAAAGCCGGAAGTGGTGCTGTGGCTCAAGTGGTAGAGCGCTAGCCTTGAGCTTAAGAGCTGAGGGACAGCGCCCATGCCCAGAATTCAGGCCCCAAGACTGGACCCCCCCCAAAAAAATTCTGTATATATCTTACAAATGTTAAGAAAAGTGAAGGAAGGGTAAGTTGGAAGAAATGGATGAGAATGTTGAAAGGGATGACATTTATCAAGATGTACTGTATTCATAAACTGCTTTGTTGAATGGCAGCTCCTTTGTGCCACTGATTAAAATTTTTTTAATATTTAAAAATATTTTTTAAAAGTATAAAATTATTTCTGCACTCATGTTATGATATGTGGCATTCTGTGACAGGAATGCATTTCTTTATTACTTTACAAATGTGTTACTTTAACCCAATCAAGGCAATTTTGAATGAATACTACTCCCATGACTTCAAAATGATGAGAGAAGCTCTTTCAAGGAAACTAGTAAGATTCTAACTTCAGTGGAAAACGCTAATTTATCACCTTCTCTATAAATGACTCTGCTTAGAGGCCATTATGAAAGGAGATGCTAGACAGGCAAAACTGTCTACCATTTTAATTTTTATTTAATTTTTTTTAAATTTTTCTGAACGTCAGATGGTTGTACAAAGGGGTTACTATTTCACATTCCATCAATAGTGTCCAGTGCTTCTTGATCAGAGTCGTCCTTTCCATCCTTCTCCCCCATCCTGTCGGTTCCTCACCCCCTCCCAGATTCATTTCACATTTCCTATTTCCTTGATCACATACAGACACTGAGTATTCTGGAGGTATTTATCCTCAGTTCTCTTCTTCATTCATCCACCCCTTCTCACCGCTCCCTCTCCCTTACAATCTCATATCAGCTTCCTGATACTTATTTTGTGAAGCTGCCAAATTGTTCAAAAGGTTTACTCCATGGAGATCCAGCCTGCATATACTATACTGAAGTCAATGGAATCCTGTACATAGCACATGCTTCTGTTGTGCTTATATGGGAGATTATATTTTCAGTCTTCTTTTTTTTGTATTGTCTGAGACCAGACACAAAAGCATCAGTACCTGATGCTTTTGCTCATTGGCTAGTGTTCAACCAGCTGAGCCATGCCTCCAACCCCTATTTTAGGCCTAAGATCTACATATGAAAAAAAAACACATATGCTTTGTCTTTCTAGGCTTACTTTGTTCAGTATGATAGTTTCCAGATTATTCCATTTCCTTGCAAATGACATAACTTCATTCTTCCTGAGAGCTACATAAAATTCCATTGTGTTTATATTACATTATATATTATATTATATATTACATGTATATGTATGTGTATGCACATACCTCCATGCACAACAATTTGTTTATCCATTATAGAGAACATAGGCTGTTTCCATAACATGGCTATTATAAACCATGGTGTAATGAACACGGACATACAGGTGACTCGGCTGTATCTTGTCATGTAATCTTTCAAATAAACACCCAAGAGTGGTATCAGTGGATCACACGGTAGCGCTATTTTTAGTATTTTTATCTGAAAAACACGATCAGGTTAACTAAGGCAATCCCACCCCTGGGAGGTGAGTTCAAGTTTTATGACATCATATGTAATCAATACTCACTTCTCCATTATTAGTGGGCCTGATCTTTAGTTAGTTCATCCTACCAATCGGTTGCTGTGAGATGTAAGGAGGAGAAAGTTCAAATGAAAAGCCTTAAGGCAGAAGACCAGAGATGGTCATCACAGTGTCTTTTGCCAAGCAAAACACTTTTTATTTTAACAAACTCCAAATCACCTATTTTTCTTCTTTCCTGCGTTGTATTTCTAGCATTGTGTCTAAAACCTCATTGATATATCCAAAGGTAGAATCAAGTCAGAAACTGAAGATACTACCCACTGTAGCTCTCAAGGTGAACATCTGATATGCTTTTCACTGTACAGAGTAAAAACAAATGGGCCAGTCCAAGGCAGGACTGACTTTCTGTTGTCCTGGATGAGTAACTGGCTCATGCACTCATGTTTTTCCTAAAGTTGATGATAAATAACTATATCATCATCATCATTATCATGGTTATATAAATATCATGAGGTTAAAATATTTTTATGAGCTTTAAATCCCCATACACAATACTTTTTGGTTTTCTCAATACTAATGTATTCATATTTTTTTAATTTGGCTATGTAAATGAGTATATCAAAACTATTACTTCATCAAGGGGTAGAACTCTATTCTTTTTGGCTATTCTATTCTGTTCTATTCTATCATTCTATTCTTGATGAACTACAAGAAAAAGAATTATAGGAGTAAAGATTTCTATTAGTTCATGAACGAACAGAGCTTAAAAATACAGAAATAGAAATAATATAGAATAATAAAAATACAAGTAGAATTCATTTTGCCTATAAGAAGAGAATCTATTTATGCCTGTCAACAATCTGTTTCTCTGCTTTACTTTCTGGGCATTTTTATATGCACAGGGGAGAACAGCACAATTCTCCATTGGCAGGTTTTACTAAATTGCTTGTCAGAAAAGCTATCTGAGAGAAACTTGAGGAAATGCTTATGAAGTTGTCCAACTGGGAAGAAAAATAGTCCATGAGTTTTACTGCAGCTCACAGCAAGGTCATTTCTTTTAGTGATTAGAAACCTAAGTCCTAATGTATAAAATCAAAGTCCTTGTCATATGGACTTGGGTTCATTTCTCTTTTCCCCCTCCTGGTGTGCTGTTACACCCTCAAAGGCCAGCAAAACAGCAGGATCATCAGTAACATTATTACAAGTGAAGCAGAAAACATTACATACATTTCTGGCTTTCTCAGCCTCAAGAGCAATATGCAACTTGAGACAGTCAAGGTTAAGACTCAAAATCATTAGCAGACATCCGAGCTTCAATGGATCACGCCTGTAATCCTAGCTACCTGGCAGGCTGAGATCTAAGGATCATGGTTTGAAGCCAGGCCAAGCAGGAAAGTCCATGAGACTTTTATCTCCAATTAACTAGCCAGAAGTTAAATTCAATGCCAGAAGTTGGTCTGTGGCTCAAGAGGTAGAGTACCAGCCTTGAATGAAAAATACATGTATATGATTAATTGGAGCTAGTGGCTTAAGTACTAGAGCACCTGCATTACAGGCATGAGGCACTGGGTTCAATCCCTAGTACTACCAAAATCAAGCAAAATAAACTTGGAAAAGATCAGTAAATTCATGAGAATTCCTGAAAAATCAGCATGTATTGATTACTAACTCAAAGTCAGACGCACATCTGTCTTCCATGCATTGTCTCAAAATACTTATACCCATAACTTTATGAAATAGATTTGAATATCTCCATTTTATAAGAGGTGGAGTATTGATAAATGGCACTTTGAGGCAAGCTTGAAGTGACATAATTAAATGGTTAAGGGCAGCATGGCTCTCAGCTCCAAGGCTGAAGTTAGAAAAGATCAAAAGCCATCATCAGGAGGCAAAGGCCCAGAGCCATGAAAGCATGCTTTGATTGAGAAGCTGTGTATACATCTTGGCCAACCCAAGGAATTGATGAGGGAAGAGGGAGCAAATTGTGATGAAGGCAATGTCTTTGTTTCAGATTAAAATGGAGAGATTCTGTGTTTCTGACTTTTTAAAAAATAACTTTTTGATGTCTCTAAATGTCCTTTGCCTGATCAAAATGGCATTATGTAAAAGAATTTTATTTTGTCTTGCAGTTTCTGAGGAAGACAAGGGATTTGGCCCGATCTTTGAAGAGCAACCAATCAATACCATTTATCCAGAAGAATCTCTGGAAGGAAAAGTCTCACTCAATTGCAGGGCAAGGGCCAGCCCTTTTCCAGTTTACAAGTAATGTGCCTTGCTCTTCTTTTGGGAAGGGAGAGTTGGATGGAAAACTACCACTCAGCCCCTATGAGCCTGTCCTATAAAGAAACCATGGTATAGAGACATTCACATAAATAGTGACATACATGCTGTGAACAGACATTACCTGATATTCAACTCCTGTTTCTTTTTTTTGTGTACTGGTACTGGGGCTTGACCTCAGAGCCTGGACACAGTCCCTGAGCTGTTTTGCTCAAGGCTAACACTCTACCAGTTGAGCCACAGTGACACTTCCAGCTTTTTTGGTGGTTAATTAGAGATGAGACTCACGGATTTTCCTGGAGGCTTCTTTTCCTGGCTTTGCACCATGATCCACAGATCTTTTCACCTGAGTAACTAGGATTGTAGGCATATACTACAAGTTCCTTGCAGTAGCTTTACTTAAATATATGAACATAATTCACTTTCTATTTCATGCAGAGATGACATTGGACATTATCCATGCCAAAAGTATCTAATGAAGATAATGCTTTTAAACATGCAAAAGCTATATGAAAAAAGTTCATGACCTAAACACACACACACACACACACACACACACACACACACACACACACGTGTGAAGCTGAAATGTTTTTGTAGGTAAGGTCTGAATCACACCACAAATGATGGGTAACATTTCTGTATTAACTACATGTCAAAAACTAGTAGAGATAATTTTAGAAAGTATTGCCTTTTTTAATAATCACAAATCTATTTATATTTACATTTCTTAAATGTCTCCATCTATTGAAATATATCTATAGAAATATATAAATCTATAGAAATATCTTTCTCTTTTTAATGAGTTCTGTATTTATGCTATCTATCAAAAATAACTGTATAAAAAGTAACATTGGAGCCAGGCAACAGTGACTCTCACCTCTAATCCTACCTACTCAGAAGGCTGAGGTCTGAGGATTGTGGTTCAAAGCCAGTCTGGGCAGAAATGTCCAATTAACCAACTCAGGGAGCAGAGTGTCAGTCTTGAGTGAAAGGCTAAGGGACATTTCCCAGTCTCTGAGTTCAAGCCCCAGTACCAGAGCATGTGCACGCACGTGCGCGCACACACATGCACACACACATACACATACACAATGGACTTTTCTGCTTCAAATGATTCATATATTAACAGGGTCTATTTTGATACAGAGGAAGAGTCAAAAATGCCAATGGATTTGAATTTCATTTGTGAAATGGTTTCATGAAGACAAAGCAAGTGATTGACAGGGAAATGGGGGCTGTAGTGGCTTAGTGTCACCTGACTTAATTAAAGGTTGTCACTCAATAAGGTTGATTTTAATAGTAGACTTTTTTTCCTGTGTAGAAAAATAGCATGCTATTGTAATAAAAACAAAGTTATTATCAGAGAATTTCCTCCTACCCCCATTTAATTTTAATTGTATTCATTTTCTCTTGCCTCTGGCTATAATGTTTTTAAGTCTTAAAACATGCACTTAGGTACAAAATCACCATCACTTTGAAATTATTTTTATTGTTTTAATTTCATGCATGGAAGTGCAATATAAATTATAAATAACACATTGGTTCTAAAAGTATTCAATGGCCTAGACTAATTTCTACCCTCAAGGTGTTCAAAACCAACCCGTGCCTAGCCTTAGTCTTGGACTAGCATCACCAGTAGAGTTATGGAGAAAAGAGATCTAACCTAAGACAATTTCACAGGGGAAAAAGCTGAATTCTGAGTAAGTAAATTGGTGTGTTGGAATAACTCATAGAGACATCTAGGATTGAGAGTCAGATTTTTATAACTTCCAGGGGACCATATACTCTTTTGGGTATTTATCCATATAAGTAGATTGATAGAATCTCATAAGCTGTTTCAGTGATGCTTACACTGGGTTCCAAGGAACCCAAGAACATCAGCCACCAACCAGAACAGGATAGTTTCAGTGAATGTTCTAGAAACACAGTTTGGAAAGGCTATGCCCCTTGCTGTCTCTTCCCCACCTGGCAGAGACAGTAAGAAAACACCTGCATGGAGTTCCCCAGGCTCCCTTCCCTCTTCCCCTCATCTCTTCCTCCATCTCCCCCTCCCTTCTTTCTTTCCTTCCTTTTTCCCCTCCCTCCTTCCCTCTCTCCCTCTCTTCCTCTCCTCCACTTCCCCTCTCCTCTTCTCCCCTCCCCTTCCTTTCTCCCTTCCTCCTTCCCTTCCTTCTCTCCCCTTTCTCCTCTCCTTTTTACCTTCCCTCCCAATCCTTCCCTCCCCTCCCTTTCACCCTCTCTCCCTCCCTTTGTCTTATTACTATCAAATGCAGGATACACTCATAACAAAGTTGAACATCCAGTCCCACCCCCGGCTCTGTATGTTAATGTGCAGCAAATCAGGATGATTTTTTAAAATCTTGCAAGTTTTCAACTTAACTGAAAAGTATTTTCTGGTCAAAGCTAGTGTGCTTGTGTGTGTGTGTGTGTGTGTGTGTGTGTGTGTGTGTGTGATGGTACTTAGGCTAGAACTCAGGGCCTCAAGCTCTTTCTATGGAGCCACAGCTTTATTTCCTGTTTTTTGCTGGTTAATTGAAGTGAATATTAGATTTGTCAGTTTAGCTGGCTTCAAACTTCAATCTTCTGATCTCACCTCCTGAGTAGCTAGGATTACAGGTGTGACCCATAGGCATTGGTAACACTTTTTTTCTACAGGTCTTCTTATCAGCTCTTAGAGAAGATCAGATCTGGATTCCAATCAATTTATTCATAATTTAATCCATATTAATTACTGGTATGATTACTGGTATGATTGCATGTCACCAACATTGTTAGATTATATAGTGGGGGGAAATCCCTTTGCCTAGAGTAATTTCTAAGTAATATGAAAAGGCAGCAGTCAGCACTTGCTCTTCTAGGATAAGGAAAATCAGATTTTACTAGTTTGTGCCTTGGAATAAAAAAACCCAACCCAGTTTTGTCATTTTTCAAACTATGTGAGCGCCTTCTAGTGGCTAAAATATGACACTCACTGAGCTTAAGCCTGATTTCAATTAGTTTTATTGAAAACTTTCCTATTTAGTCAGATATTGAGAGTTTATATTTTACTTCTGTTTGAGATATGGTTTTAATATTCTACATAGCATATATACGTGTGTATAAGACCATCTCATCGATTTCAATTCATAAACTGGACGTTGATGGCTCACCCTGTAATCCTAGCTGCTCAGTAAGTTGAGATCTGAGGATCGTGATTTGAAGCCAGGCAGGAAAGTCCATGAGACTCATCTCCGATTAATCACCAAAAAGCCAGAAGTGGAACTGTGTCTCAACTAGTAGAGTGCCAGCCTTGACCAAAATTGCTAAGAGACAGTGCCCAGGATCTAAGTTCAAGACCCAGTTTGGGTATCAAAAAAGAGGGTGGGGGGAGTCAATTCTTGTAATAAAATTCAACAAAACATTTATTTAGGCTGTTTCTATTTAAAAAGAGTAAATACATCATGCAGTTTAACATTGACCTTTCTATACCTTAGGTAAATTATAAATCATGAGCTTTTATTTTGAGAATTGTTAAGTTGTGAAGGAATATCAACCTTTATTATTTACTTAACCATTTTAAATTTTATTTATTGTGTTTTTTTGTATTTTATTATTTTATTTTGTGGTAGTCCTGAGGTTTGAACTCAGCAATGGGACACTGTCCCTTAGCTTTATTTCTCAAGGCTGATACTCTACTATTTGAGCCACATCTCTACTTTCAGCTTTTTTTCTTCTCTCACAGACTTTCCTGCCCAGGCTGGCTTCAAACCTTGATCCTCAGGCCTCAGCCTCCTGAGTAGCTAGGATTACAGGTGTAAGTCACCAGTGTCTGGCTACCATTTTCTTTCATGTGGGGCTATATCCAGATTACTCAGGAGGACTCTAGTAATTACTCAGTTTTGGTCTAGTCAAGATTCCAGGCCTTGTGATTTTTGCTTGTACTTTTTTTTCTCCTAGGTGGAGAATGAATAATGGGGATGTGGATCTGACAAGTGACCGGTACAGCATGGTGGGGGGGAACCTCGTTATCAACAACCCTGATAAGCAGAAAGACGCTGGCATATATTATTGCTTGGCCTCCAATAACTACGGGATGGTGCGGAGCACAGAGGCAACACTGAGCTTTGGGTGTAAGTTAAGTAACTTCTATGAAAGGGTAGGTTTGTTTAGACAAAGTGAAAATTAGATGTCTTTTAATTATGGGTTGAAAGTATGAATTGTCTGGAGGGTTCAATCTTGGGCAATCAATTCTTGGGGCTTTTTCCTTCTATTCCAAAATCCCTCTGAGACACACACCTCTAATCCTAGCTACTTGGGAGGCTGAGATCTGAGAGAATTGTGGTTCCAAGCCAGGCTGGGCATAAAAGTCTATGAGACCCATATCTCCATCTAACTAGCAAAAAAAGCAGAAGTGGAGCTGTGGCTCAAGTGGTAGAGTGCCAGACTGGAGTGGTAAAACCATAGGAGGGCACAAGGCCCTAAGTTCAGACCTCAGTACTGGCACACAAACACAAAAAAATATTACTTAAAAAATAGCTAGGCACCGTAGCTTATAACTAGTTAGGAGGCTGAGATCTGAGCATCATGGTTTGAAACCAGCCTGGGCAAGAAAGTCCATGAGACTCTTATCTCTAATTAGTCACAGAGAAAACTGGAAGTGATACTGTGGTTCAAGAGCCTTGAGCAAAAGGAGCTCTGCTACTACTTTCTCCAGAAGGGGTAGGTTGTTTCTGGTGAGACAAGTCTTCTGCATGTCAAAGTTTGGTTTCTTTTGTGCCAGTACTGGGGCACAGAACTAATCACTTTCATGATTTCCAAATAGGATTCTGCTTTTTCCTGTATTCCTTTCCAGATTCTGAGTTCTTCTTCCTCAGGACCAGAACTAGAAAGCTCAAAATTAGCCCATTTCTCTAAGTATTTTTTTTTTTCTTTTTGTGGTATATTTGCCTTTAGTGGGACTTCAACTCAAGGACTGAGCCCTGTCCCTTAGCTTTTTATCCCAGGCTGGTGCTCTATCGCTTGAGCCAACCCTCCACTTCCAACTTCTTGGTGGTTAATTGCAGACAAATGTCTCATGGACTTTTTCTGCCCAGGGTAGCTTTGAACCTTGATCCTCAGATCTCAGCCTCCTGAGTAGTTAGGATAATAGTCATGAGCAGCCAGTGTCTGGTGGCCTCATTCATGTATGGGCTGTTCTGATGGCTGTAGGCTTGAAGCTCATGACAGAACTCCAATCTAATTCCTAGACCCTAAAAACAAGTTCATTTCCGTGGACTTCCCCATACCTATTTCAAAGTATTCCGTCCCAGAAGTGAGGCTGTTCCTGAAAGGCTAAATCTCAATGACTAGTGCTCTTTCTATGACTAGTGTTCTCTCCATAACATTCTCTGTTTTGGTCTTTTTCTTTTGGAACCAGATCTTGATCCTTTCCCGCCTGAAGAGCGTCCTGAGGTCAAAGTGAAAGAAGGGAAGGGAATGGTTCTCCTCTGTGATCCTCCCTACCATTTTCCAGGTAAACTTCATTTCTCTGTGACTTTAAGCATCTAGGAAATGAAAAGGGCACATTGCCATTTTTCCTTGTAATGATGATACATTATTATTGACCTAATTATCCTAATCATCATGGCTTATAATTCATTCAATAAGCCTCAATATTTGCATAACTTTGAGAGGTTTCACTGATTACTGGTTATAGACACTTCCTTTCTGGTTAATTTCTTGACTCTACTCCAAGGACCTCTAATTATTTATCTCAGTGTATAAACCATATATATGTTCACTTATGTCCTTATTAAAATTCCTCTTAAATGGAGAAATTATAATAGATTTTTCTAGAAATTATGATAGATTTTTCTAAAACAGAACAGCATCAAAGAATCATTTCCTTAACAAGTTGACATCTACAAATAGACTGTGAATTGTAGCTAAATATCAGATAAAAAAGACTTAAGTTATTAGTCTTTCTTATTTTTTTCAGTTGTGGGGCTTGAACTCTGGGCCTGGGCACTGTCCCTGAGCTCTTCAGCTCAAGGCTTGAGCCACAGTGCCACATCCAGTTTTCATGTGGTTAATTGGAGATGAGTCTCATGGACTTTCCTGCGTGGCCTGGCTTTAACCATGACCCTCAGATTTAAGCCTCCTGAGTAGCTAGGATTACAAGCATGAGCCACAGAGCCTGGCAATTATTTGTCTCTTTAGGAGCACTAATCTTCGAGGGCAAGTATTCACGTTAGAAAAGAGGCACCCAGTGCTGGTAGCTCATGCCTATAATCCTAGCTACTCAGGAAGCTGAGGTCTGAAAAATCATAGTTCAAAGCTAGCCCAGGAAGGAAATTCTGTGAGACTCTTATTGCCAATTAACTGCCAAGAAGCTGGAAATGAGCTGCGGCTCAAGTGATAGAGTACTAGCCTCTCATGGAAACAACAACCACCACAACAAACAAGTGAGAACACAAAGCCCTGAATTCAAGCCTCAGTACCAGTGAGAGGAAAGAAAGAAAGAGAGAAAGAGAGAAAGGGAGAAAGGGAGAAAGGGAGAAAGGGAGAAAGGGGGAAAGGGGGAAAGGGAGGAAGGGAGGTAGGGAAGAAGGGAGGAAGGGAGGAAGGGAGGGTAAGGAAGGAAGGGAGGGTAAGGAAGGAAAAGTGGAGGGAGGGAGGGGGACAAACCTGATCTAGGAAAGGAGTATGGTGGTAAAACATTTGTCTAGCACACAGAAGGTCTGGGGTTCTATCCTCTATGTTTCTAGGAAACAAAGGGAAAGAAAAAAAGAAAAAGGGACAAAAATTGAATAACATTTAGTATGAAATTCAACTTTGAGTAGCTATTTCTTCTAAATTACCTATCTAAAATAAAACCACTAACGTGTTAAATTAAAAATGAGTACTACCTATACTTACTTTCACTTGCCTTATTTATCACATTTTGCCTTGGGCTAACATAAATAATGCATTTCAAAAGCAAAAAACCATGTTTTTACAGTTTTTAAATTTTTTTTATTGTCAAGTTGATATACAGTGGGGCTACAGTTACATAAGTAAAGTAATAAGTACATTTCTTGTCAAATGTGTTACCCTTTCCTTCATTTTTCTCCTACTTTCCCTCCTCTTCACCCCCCACAAGTTTTTATGCTCTTTATGTAATAAATTGGCCTTTAGATATCCCCATAGAGAATGAAACAACTGACCTATAATTTTATGTGGAATACATCCGTCCAATGTATGTGTATACACATATGCACACACATATTTCACATGTATTACATCTACATTTCATATCCTACATGCAAAATTATACACATACTGCATGCAAAGTTATACATATGTTGCATGCCAAATTTCCTATATGTATGAAAATTATGTGAGTATATAATTATTGTTGTTACAGTATCAAGTATTGATGACTTTCTCTGTAACTATGGTTATCTGATCAATATGCTTCTCACATTTGAAAGTTAAAATAGCCCCACATTATTGAAGTGAGAGACTGTGAGGGCTTAGGCCTTGCTTGAAGAACAGTTGAAACCATAAATAAACCATGTTAATCTTCAGTGTCGCTCATGAAAAGATAATGGTTGAAGGAGAATTGGGATAAGTATGAGCAAGGGAAATGTGAAATTTCTACTAGACGTCCAGAAGGACGTTTGGTTGACAGCTGTATGGGTATGAAGAGCTGTATGGGTATGGAGAGCTGTATGGGTATGGAGAGCTGTATGGGTATGGAGAGGCACATCAATTTGTGATTTATCATGATCTAAATTGATTTTGATGACATAGGAAGTTAGAGTGTGTAGAGAAGGCAGGAGAAGATTCTCAAGGAACAGATTCTGAGATTTCTCTAAAGGAAGTGTAGGTTTCTGTCTCTGTGGCATCTTACCGGGTATGCTGAGGGAAGAGTTTCATTCCTACCATGAAGATATGAGAGTCAATTATCTCTTCAACCTTTTTAAAAACACACATGCTTCTGTGGAAGAACTAAAAACTAAGGCTGAATTTGTTTTATTGTATTTCATTTTATTCAATTTTGTTTTTTGTGTTTTACTGAGGCTTGGACTCAGAGCTTGAGTGCTGTCCCTTAGCTTTTTCACTCAAGGTTGGTGCTCTGACACTTAAGCCATACTTCCCCTTCTGACATTTTTGCTACTTAATTAGAGATAAGAGTACCATTAACTTTCCTGCCCAGGCTGGCTTTGAACCGTGAGCCTTACTCAGCCTCCTGAGTGGTTGGGATTATAGGCATGAGCCACCAGCACCCCATAAATTGAGTTTGTTTTAAATGAATCCAATAGACATCATTAATAACAGAATAGAATCTTAGCTAGCGAGGTCTCCAAACTAGTTGATAGTGGGACTTGAACTCAGGATCTTGTGCCCTTTCTTAGCTTTTTCCACTCAAAAATGATGCTCTACCACCTGAGTCACAGCTTTACTTCCCTGCTTCTGGATGCTTAATTGGAGATAAGAGTCTCATAGACTTTTCTTACCAGGTTTGGGTTTGAACTGTGATCTTCACATCTCAGCCTTCGGAATAGCTAAGGATTGTAGACGTGAGCCATCTAGCCTGGTTTAAGGTTTTGTGCCTTACAGCTCAGAATTTCTTTGGATTGGGGGAACAACTGAATCTACGGTTGGGTTCTGAATCTCTACAAATGCTTTATATGCAACTATTTGCAGTTGCTATACCCTGCTGTTCTGGTGGTGACCTGAGAACTCGTCTGTGTCAAACTCAGCTACATCTCTGTAAATTTCCTCACTTGAAATTTGGGAATGAAAATTTCCCCACCATCTTATTCATAGAACTTGTGATTTTAAGTGTATTTGAAAATAATAGAGATGCAATTTCAGTGGTTATTAATCATCATATATATTGGACTATTTTTTAAATTAAGTAATATGAATCCAAATATCCTGTATATTTTGGACCCAATATTACTATTTACAGAGTCTTACTTTGCTGAAAATGTTTGGTTAACAACTGTAGAAATGTTTCCTCCCTCACAGAATAAAAGATCCAGAAGGAAAAAAACCTCAGCTTTTATAATTTATTACATTGTTCCTTTGGATTTGAGTTTTCCTAAGAGAAACACTTTTATCTGAATGCTGCTACTTATTTGTGGACAGTCAAGTACACATTTCAGTACAAATGTTTATTGGGTTTTATAATAATATCATATAAAAATTGATTGCTTAATGCAATCACAGAGTAAGTACAAATTTTGAGGAATGAAAGGATCAGAGAATTAAAAAAACAAATAAATGTGTTTATTAAATTGATGGCATGTAAGAGTTATGTTTCATGGAAAGCTAAACATTTTTAGATTTTATTTTATATACTGCAATAAATAACTACTAAGGCTTTTAAACACCTACATCATGGAAAATGAGAATCCAATGCATTAATTCCAACTAATTTTCTGTTAATATACCCATAAAATGTGACTTACTATGTCTCACAAAATATAAGCATATTTTCAGAAAGAGAGAGATGGAAACAGAGAGAAAGAGACAAAGACAGAAAATGCATAAGGACACAGAGAGAGAGAATACAGAGAGAGAAACGGAGGAAGAGAGAGAGAGAGAGAGAGAGAGAGAGAGAGAGATGAGAGGAGCACAAACCCTGTAATTTAAAAGATAGGTCCTATAGGCAAAGTACAAAACATTTAACAACAGATACATATATTTTAAAAAGTGAGCAAGAGTAGGAGACCAGTGTAGCGAATACTTTCACAATATGGGAAACGTTGTGCAGATTACATTCTAAACATGCTTACTGAAGATTACGCTATCAACACCCTGAAAAGAAGCTATGGTGAATTTATCAGTATGGATGACTTCTAGTGTGTCAAGGATAATTTTTTTTTAAAAAGCATGAAAATCTCCTAAAATGTTTTCAAATTATTCCTTCTGGGCACACCAAAGTACTTCAGGTATATTGCTAGGAGAACACTGCATTATTTAGCAATGTTAGGTAGGTGGTGTGGTTCAAAGTAATACCGTGAAACTCACTAGATGCATTGCAGTTGATCAAAACAGATTTCCACTGCAGTTGATCAAAACAGAGTTCCCCTGGAGCAAGAAATGTTCTATCAATAAAAGCAACATTTCTTAAACATGTGCTGGCACTTACTCGTGCTGAAAAATTAAGTTTACGGTGATTTAGTCTATAGTACTAAGAGAAAAAGGAAGAGAACTGATTTTTCTTATATGCATGGGATGAAGAAACATATACAGAAAATCCACTGGGTCTTAGAAATCTCAGTTAGGGCTGAGCTCTGAGAACTAAGATGGTCCCAGCTCTAATTTAAAGAGGAAGAATGGCTACCATTGTACTTTTGGTACAGCTTATTCCAGATGGAGATCTGGAGAGGAAGGTTAGAATATCAGCTCTGTTTCCCTGTTACTCTTTTTTTTTCTTAATTGTGAAAATACCATACAGAGGGGTTACAATTACATGAGCAAGGTAATGAGTACATTTCTTATCAAGCATTGTTGCCTCCTCCTTTGTTCTCTGTTCTCTTGATAAGGCAGTTAATCTAGCATATCCCTCCTGTTTGAAAATACCAGTAGGCTTCTACTGTTGTAATGATGTAGGGTTGGGTTCCGCAGTGGGCTAGAGCTTGCTAAGTAAAATTAGATTATTTCTGTGTATATGTGCTGATTGATACTGGCCTTGAATTCAAGGCCTGGGTTTTGTTCCTTAGGTTTTTTGTTCAGGAATGGTACTTTACTACTTGAACCATAGCTCCACTTCCAGGTTTTTTTCATAATGATGGTTAATTGGAGATAAAACTGTGAAAGACTTTCCTGCTCAGGCTGACTTCAAACTTGATCCGCAGATCTCAGCCTTCCAAGTAGCTAGGATTATAGCTACTAGCACCTGTCAGTAAAGTTATATTAATTCTGCTATAAGTCTCATTTGGGACAGAGTTCATATCTATCTTGTTTATAGCCGCACTGAAGGTACTTAAGTAAATTAGAGAATCAGATATTAAATTAATCAGACAAATTGATATATTTAGACAAACATCACCACCATAGCTTGAGTATTTCTAAACATATAATTTAAAATGATAGTACAGATAGGAAGAAAGATAAAGCCACAGCGTAGTATGTCATTTTGAGCTTATTTATAATGTATGCTCAAGGTAAGCCACAGTCTTTGTAAATTAGAGACTTCAACTCCAAATCTCAGTTCTACTTAATGCTCATGAAAATTCCAGGCAAGTTACCCACTCTGACTTTCAGCTGGCCAATCAATGAAAAAAAAAGTAAGAAGGCTCCTAAATTCATTAACTAATAGAAATAAATCAATGGATGTAATTGCTCAATACCATGTTTATATTCATGAAAAACATGGTATCAACTGGAAAATATGCAGAGTTTGTCTGGGCTTTCTTCCAACATTTGTTGTACTCTAATCTCTATTAGACTATGTAATAGCTTATAATCAGAAAACCATCTTTGCTTTTGGAAAAGAGCTTAATATTTAATAAAAAAAATCTTTTCTTCTAGATGATCTTAGCTATCGCTGGCTCTTAAATGAATTTCCTGTCTTTATCACAATGGACAAACGAAGATTTGTGTCTCAGACAAATGGCAACCTCTACATTGCAAACGTTGAGGCTTCTGACAGAGGCAATTATTCCTGCTTTGTATCCAGTCCTTCTATTACCAAGAGTGTGTTCAGCAAATTTATCCCACTCATTCCAATCCCTGAACGTAAGTATTTTACTTGTTGGGTTTAGTGAGATGCCTATAGTTTAAGAAGTTACAAGAGAGGCCTTCTGCATTGGAGATTCAAGCTGATCTGCCACTGCGTATAATTTAACATCATGTGAGATCCTAGATTCTAATTTCCTAGCACCAGCTAGGAAACTTAATCATAATAAATTACATTTTTCAATTTAACTGACCTAGTTCAATTGGCTTCTTAACATGAAATTCTCATCATTTGGTTTTTTTGTTTGTTTGTTTGTTGCCAGTCCTGGGGCTTGAACTCTGGGCCTAGGTGCTGCCCAGGGGCTCTTTTTTTGCTCAAGGCTAGCATTCTACCACTTGATCCACAGCATAATTTCCAGCTTTTTCTGTGATTAGTTGGAGAGAAGAGTCTTAGGGACTTTCCTGCCTGGGCTGGCTTTGAACCAAGATCCTCAGATCTCAGCCTCTTGGGTAGCTAGGATTACACGTGTGAGCCACCAGCACAGAGCGTCTCACAGTCTTTTGATAATTCTAACTCCTCCCTTAGGCAGTTCCTCTTTCTCAGTAGTTTGTTTTGTTTTGACTTACATGTGGTCAAAACATCATATATTTACTAGCCTCTTTAGTGTCGTACAATGTAAAATACATACAACAGATTGACTCTTTCTGAGCCTGTTTCTTATCCTTACAGATGGAGAGAATATCAAATTGTTCAGAATATATGGTAAAAGAATGACATCAAGTATCTAGATTAAGTAGTACCATGTTGTAAATGTTTTCCTTTATTTCCTTTTCAACTTGTTTCTCATTTGTCTTCATCTCTGTGGACAATTCGTTTTTTTTTTCTCTTTTTTCCTTCCTTCTTTCCCTTCTTTCTCCTTTTCTTTCCTTTCTTTTTTCTTTTCTTTCTCTCTTCCTTCTTTCTTTTTTCTTTTTATCTTCTGTCTTTTCTTTCCTTCATTTCTTCCTTTCCTTCTTTCTCTCTTCCTCTCTTTCTTTAGGTGTCACTACTAGGGATTGTTTTGCCAGTACTCTTGCTTGTTTTGCTTTTCAGTTCAAAGCTGGCACTCTACCACTTGAGCCACACATCTTCTACTTCTCACTTTTTGCTGCTTAATTGAAGTTGAGTCTTATGGACTTAACTGTGGAAGCTGGCTTTGAACCACAATCTGCAGATCTCAGCCTTCTGAATAGGTAGCGTTACAGGCATGAGCCTCCAGCCCCCAGCTCTCCTTCTTTCTTTTACACTTGCTCTTTTTCTTTTCTATTTTCCCCCATTTCTTTTCTTCTTTTTCTATCTTTCAGAGTCCTGTAGAACACTGACCACAATTGTTTCACCTATTTCATGATTCCTTGAATTTGTTTAATGAACTGAGTCAGACTCAGTTGCTGTTATTGAAAATGCTTGATCAAGTTCATACTAATACCTAGTGTGTTCAAGCAAGTCACTATGGCAGGGCACTGGTGGCTCACACCTATAATCCTAGCTACTCAAGAGGCTAAGAGCCAAGACTTGTAGTTTGAAGCCAGCCTGAGCAGCAAAGTTTGGAGACTCTTATCTCAAGTAAACCATTCAAAAAAAGCCAGAAGTGGCCCTGTGGCTCAAGTGGTAGAGTTCTATCCTTAAGCATAAAGAGGCTCAGGGACAAGTCCAGGCCCTGAGTTCAAGCCCCAGAACTGGCAAAAAAAAAAAAAGAAAGAAACCCAACAAGCCATTACATTGTGGCTTGACCAGTATCTACATAGAGGAAAGCCTTTTATATTAAAGCCATTCTAATCTTACAATAACACAATATTAAAAAATCATATTGTGCTTAATATTTCACAAATCTTTGTATTATTTTAATCATAGGAACAACAAAACCATACCCAGCTGATATCGTAGTACAGTTCAAGGACATATATGCACTAATGGGTCAAAATGTGACTCTAGAGTGTTTTGCACTTGGAAAGTAAGTATACTTTTACTTTTCTCTGGCATGTAAAGACATGTTTATTTTGTGTGTGTGTGTGTGTGTGTGTGTGTGTGTGTGTTTGTGCCAGGGCATGAAGTCAGGCTTTGCACCCTTGCTTGGCTTTTTCAAATAGCGCTCTACCATTTGAGCCAAGCTCCACTTCTGGCTTTGGTGGTTAGTTGAAAAAAAGAGTCTCATAAACTCTTCTGTCCAGGCTGGCTTGGAACCAGAATTCTCAGATATCAGCCTCCTGGTTAGCTAGGATGACAGGTGTGAGCCTGCAGGCAACATGGTTTTTGTCCCCTTTTAGGAAGTAAATGATGTGTATGGTTTGCTGGAAACAAGAAAATGGTCTTTTAAGTGTTGTGGAGCTCAAGGTCTTGTTTCTTCTATTTAAAGTCCTGTTCCTGATATCCGATGGAGGAAGGTGCTAGAACCAATGCCTAGCACTGCTGAGATTAGCACCTCGGGAGCTGTCCTGAAGATCTTCAATATCCAGCTAGAAGATGAAGGCATTTATGAATGTGAGGCTGAGAATATTAGAGGGAAGGATAAACACCAGGCAAGAATTTATGTTCAAGGTAGATGTCTACATTTTCTGTGAAGTTCTTCAGTGTCTTACTCAGTCATTTCTACAATAACTGATAGTTTTAAAATACTGATATATATATATATATATATAATTACATAGAAGGATATAAGATTTTTATTTTAATCCAAAATATACAATTAATGTAGTTCACTTATTCCCTTTATCATTCTCTCTTTCTCTCTTCATGATGGTATTGGGATGAGAACTCAGGGCCCTACCTAGTTTGTTTTTTGTTTTGTTTTGTTTTGTCAAGGCTGGTACTCTACCTTTTTTTTGACAGTACCTTTTTATTTATGGCAGAACTTAGGCATTATGGCTGAGTTTGAATCAGTAGTGTGCATACTTTAATATTTATTGAGATTACTTATAGGACTTGTTAAAACATAGGCTTCTAGATCCTTCCTTGAGATTTCTGTTTCAAAAGGTCTAATGTGAACTTTGGAATATTTATTTCTAACAAGTTCCCAGAAGACGTAGACGCTACCAGATCTGAAACCAGACTTTGAGAACCTCTGGTATAAGGAATCATTTTTCTTGTACAAAATTACCTTGCTTTGCTGTCTTCTTTGATTCTCGTACATTAAGATGAATATATCTGAGAAGAAAGATTTTTCTTTAAGATGACACTTGTAACTATTTTATTTCAGATCATTTCTGTGATGTTCTATAATGTGGAATAAAATACTCACAGGTTTCAACAAGATCTTTTTTTTTTTTTTGAACCAGTCATAGGGCTTGAACTCAGGGCCTGGGAATTGTCCCTGAACTTTTTTCACTTAAGGCTAATGCCATGCCACTCGGGCACAACTCCACTTCCAGCTTTTTGGTGGTTCACTGGAGATAAGAGTCTCCACAGACTTTCCTTCCCCAGGCTGGCATGGCTTGGAACCACGATCATCAGATCTCAGCCTCCTGAGGATTATATTTATTTTTAACTCTACAGAGTTCCCTATTTCTCTTGCTTTAGTCTCTTCCAAAATAGGAGACAAAAGTTGAGGTCTAATTCTTGAAAACTCCAAATTCATACTTGGACAGATTTGAATTTACATTGAATAGGAAAAAAAATCGAGTATGGATTCGCTTTCCAGACAAACATAATTTAAAGCAGACCTAGAAGTACTAATTAAATTATAGTTTCTTTATTTTGTAACAACTTCCACCATTTCAATGGTGATAACATTTATTTTAGGACACATGCAATAGTTCATGTGTACTTCAAAATAATGTTAAACAAATGTATCACTTATACTTAAAATGATGGTGGCTGTGCCAGGAGCCTGTGACTCATGCCTCTAGTCATAGCTACTCAGGAGGCTGAGATCTGAGGATCATGTTTCAATGTCAGCCCAGGTAGAAAAGTTTGTGAGACTCTTTATGTCCAATAAACTACTCAAAAATAAAAATTATGGTAGTTGTTAAGGTTTGTGCTTGCCATTCATCGTGTTCTTTGCTTTGTAGCGTTTCCAGAATGGGTAGAACATATCAATGACACAGAGGTTGACATAGGCAGTGATCTCTACTGGCCTTGCATAGCTACCGGAAAACCCATCCCTACCATCCGCTGGCTGAAAAATGGATATGCGGTATGTACAGGAGTCCTTATTCAGGAAACATTTGAGGGTGATTACAAGATAAATAGAGCAGGAATGCCAAAAACATATGGCGTACTTTATAATAAAAAGGTTTCGTTAACCAATTTTTTTAAAAAAGCAAGCAAGAATCTAAATATTAAATATCTTGAGTTTAAACAACTTCCTGTGATCTTATCTTTACCTTCTCTCTTTCTCTTTCTCTCTCCTTATTTTTTTCCTTTGTTCCACTTTGTTCCCCTTCTTCTTACTCATCCATCTCCACTTGCCTGCTATTGCCCTCCTTTTTCTTGCCTCTGTTTCCCTGAACCTCACAGAAACAGAGGTTAAGAGTGACCCCCTAAGTCCTACCTTTAGCTCTGGGGACAAGTAGCTTCTCTATCTTCTCCCTGTAATTTCCCAGCTGGCCCCAGAGGAACAAAGATGGAGCCTCAGCTCTATAAGATGAATAGAACAAGAGCCACTGGGCATGGTAAGTGGGTTTTTCTTCCCCCATGCCATGAAAATCTCACTGTGCATTTTAGGTGGACAGTAGGAAAGATGAAAAAAACAAGCCCAAAACCTACAAGAAAGACATTTTTTAATTCAAGTTCATCAAGACTATTTGATTTTCATCCATTCCAGTATCATAAAGGGGAGCTGCGACTCTACGATGTGACTTTTGACAATGCTGGCATGTATCAGTGCATTGCAGAAAACACTTATGGAGCCATCTACGCCAATGCTGAGCTGAAGATTCTGGGTCAGTGTCATTTCTGATTTCTCTTCAACGTGCCTCCCGCAAACCACAAGAGCAAAAGATGATAGAGTACTCAGAGATCACCTTGGGTTGAATTTGATTTTTATTTTTGTTATACCAGTCCTAGGGCTTCAATTCAAAACCTGGGCACTGTCCCTGAGCTTTTTGGCTAAACGCTAGAATTCTACCATTTGAGCCACAGCTCTATTTCCAGCTTTTTTCTGTTTTGATAGTTATTTGGGGATAAGAGTTTCATGGACTTTCCTCCCTGGGCTGGCTTTGAACCACACACTGTTCCTTAGCTTTTTTCACTTAAGGCTGGTGTTTTGCCACTGAGCCTTACCTCCACTCTGGCTAAAGTACTGTAACTCTTTAAAATTTTCTTTTGTTCTTTGAAGATTCTCAGTGCATGTACTTAGAATGAAAGCAATAGTTGGTTAAATTGCATTGTTTAAATATATTTTAATTTAATTAATTCCTTTTGTGCCAGGGCTAGGTTTAAACTCAGAGCCTGGGTGTCGTTCCTTAGCCTTTTTCACTCAAGGCTGACACTTTATCACTCTACTTCCAGCTTTTCTTTTTCTAGTTAATTGGAGATAAAATTCTCATGCTTAGGCTGGCTTTGAACCACAATCCTCAGATCTCAATCTCCTGAATTGCTGGAATTACCTGACTTTATTTTTAAGAAGCTGAACTGTGTAGTCATTTTGAGTTAACATGGAACATCATATTCTTTCAGCATTTTAAAATGGTAAAGCAAAACTTAAATGTGCTACTTATTGATGGATTGATGGACTGATTGATGTTTGTGGTATGGGGATCAAACCCCAGTCTTTGTCCATACTAGGCAAATACTCTACCTCTGAGCTATGCTTTCTGCTTTTGACCACTTCTTGTGTGCGGGGGTGGGGGGGGGGGGGGGGGCGGGAGCAGGGACGGCCATCCTAGGACTTGAATTCAAGGTCTGGGTGCTGTCCCTGAGCTTTTTCACTCGAGTTCAATACTCTAATATTTGAGCCACAGCTCCACTTCTGTCTTGGGGGCTAGTTTATTGGAGGTAAGAATCTCATAGTCTTTCCTGCCCAAGCTGGCTTCAAACTCCAGCCCTCAGATCTCAGTCTCCTAGTAACCAGTAGCAACCTGCCCTTGTACCACATTTGACAAGTTTTTTCTCTGTAATATCTGTCAGTGAATACTGCTTGCAAAGTTACATGGAAGTGAAGACTAGTAGTAAAATATGCATATAATCCAGGCTTCTGTAAGGTTCCCCTCTTTGGGGCTTTCCTCATCCCTGGACTTAATATCTTATAATTACTAATCAAAAACTCCAACCACCAGGAAATGGAAACAAGAGATTTTTTTTTCTTCGTTGCTGTTTTGTTTTGTTCTTACGTTTTGTTGTTCAGTTATCTGCCTTTGGTGGGGGGCGGGTAAGACGGACAAAAGGTGAACAAACATAGCAGTGGTACGCACTAGAAACTACGTTGAAAATGAACCATACAACTTGTGGGTGAGGCTGGGAGGGACAAGTTGGGAGAGAGCGAGGGATGGAGTGACATTGTCCAGAAAGAAATGTACTCAATACCTGACTTATGTAACTGTAACCCTTCTGCACACTACTTTTACAATAACAATAAAATGAAATTAAAAACTCCAGCCAGACACAGAGACAGTGCCTAGGCCCTGAGTTCAAGTTCCAGTACTGGCATATACCAAAACTAAAAAAAGGAATGGGGGCTGGGAAGGTGGCTCAGTGGTAGAGAGCTTGCCTTGCATGCATGAGGCCCTAGGTTCATTTCCTCAGTACCTCATAAGCAGAAAAAAAGTCAGAAGTGGCTCTAGCTCAAGTGGGAGAGTGCTAGTCTTGAGCTGAAGAGCTGAGGGACAGCGCCAGGCCCAGAGTTCAGGCCCACGACCGACCAGAAAAAAAAAAAAAAAAGGAATGATGGGTTCATTAGTAAAAAGAAAAACTTATTCATTTGTTTTCCTTTTTAGCTTTGGCTCCAACTTTTGAATTCAATCCAATGAAGAAGAAGCTTCTGGCTGCTAAAGGAGGAAGGGTGATCATTGAGTGTAAGCCCAAAGCTGCACCAAAACCTAAGTTTTCCTGGAGCAAAGGAACAGAATGGCTTGTCAACAGCAGTAGGTCAGTTCTGAAAGGAGAGACATCTAATTGACATTAACCACAAATGGGAGGTTTATTCTGTAGAAGACATGTTTGCATACTATTAATCTAATTATTTCCTCCAACTTTTCTTCATAGGATTTACTGTCATAAAATGAACAGAGGGGCTGGGAAGATGGCTCAGTGGTAGAGCACTTGCCTTGCATGCCTGAGGCCCTAGGTTTGATTCCTCAGCACCACATAAGCAAAAAGAAAAGAAGCCAGAAGTGGTGCTGTGGCTCAAGTGGTAGAGCGCTAGCCTTGAGCTGAAGAGCTGAGGGACAGTACCCAGGCCCAGAGTTCAGGCCCATGACCAGACTCCCCCCCTCCAAAAAAAAAAGAACAGAAATACTTGTTCATCCAAACCAGTATCTATTCAAGTTACGGTTAAGTTTTCAGGATGTGTATCGTGTATGTGTGTATGACTGTCTGTGTTTGTGTGTCTATGTCTGTTTCTGTGCCTGTGTGTGTTTGAATGAGTTTTGAGGCCTACGCACTGTCCTTTACGTTTTTCTGTCAATGCTGGCACTCTACCACTTGAGCCACACCTTCACTTCTAGCTTTTTGGTTATTCATTGGTGTTAAGGGCTTTTCCTGCCCAGGCTGGCTTTTAACCAGGACTCACAGCAAGATTGTGTAATTTGTAAGAAATTTAGAAAATGGAAGCACAGAGCTATCTGTAAATTGCTTAAGTCCACATAGCTAATAAACAATGGGGAATGAAACAAGATTTTTCTTCCTTTGTCCTTAACAAAGGCATTGATAACCATTCATGTTTGTATAATTTTACACAAGTAACCTACTATGTATTTTGGTAGGAAAACACCATGGTAATTTCAAAACTAACGTATCTTCCCAGGTTCTAAAATCAATAGTTGTTCTCACCCGTATCCCAACAATTAGACCATCTGCCAATATTTTGGTGGGATTCTACCGCTTGAGCCACATCTCCAGCCTGTCCTGACATTTTGTTGGTTTATTTATTTATTTACTTACTTACTTTCTTATTTATGTATTTATTATATGCTCGTCCTAAGGCCTGAACTCAGGGTCTGGATGAGCTTGTTTTGCTCATGGCTATTACTCTGTCACTTGAGTCATGACTTTATTTTGGACTTTTTGTTGGAAATAAATTTGTTGGAGATATGAGTCTTATAGACTTTCCTGCTCTGGCTAGCTTCAAATCATTATTTCTTTTGATAACTCAGCCTTCTGAGTAGAAGATTACAGGCATGAGCCTTTATTTGCTTGTTAGACTTTCTTTAATACAGGCTATACATTTGTATGTTTTGCATACACTCTCAAAGATAATTTGAAGTTTTGGAAATGACATACTTAGGAAAAGTAAAATCCATTACCCCACTCTTGTAATCCTAGCTACTCATGAGGCTGAGATCTGAGGATGATAGTTCAAAGCCAATGTCAGCAGGAAAGTCCATGAGACTCTTATCTCCAATCAATAATAAAAAATAGAAGTAGAGCTGTGGGTCAAGTTGTAGAGTGCCAGCTTTGAATGAAAAAAAGCTAAGGAGACCTGGCCCTGAGTTCAAGTGCCAGTATGGGCACACACACGCATACATACAGAGTAGAATCCAGTGGGAAACAATACAATCTAAATATGAGAAGCTATATTAATAAAGCAGTATTTTTTGTTGTTAGCACCTTAGAAAGTATGAACAGAAATATGGAAAAGGTGCAACATAAAAGATTAAGAAATTCCCAGAGGAATTTCTGTTACAGAAGCTGTTACTAAGGGAGAGTCTAAAAAATATATATTTCTTCAAAAGTTTCTTTAAAAATGTGTATATTTTTCTGTAGTAGTAGAGTAACAGTCTGTCCTAACTTCCAAATATGAAGTCTTGAGGTTATATTTCTAAAATAACTGGGTTCATTGCTTTCAGGCCTGTAACCTGTGGGATCTTGTTCCGTAGTGGTTTAAGTCACATTTTATGATAGGGTGTGGAAAACCACTTGCTTCATTAAGGCAAATGTGGTTCATTAATTTAAAAAGGGAGGGAACACTGGTGGCTCATGCCTGTAATCCTAGCTTCTCAAGAGGCTGAAATCTGAGGATTACGGTTCAAAGCCAGCCCAGGCAAAAAAGTCCATGGGACTCTTATCTCCAATTCACCACCAGAAAACCAGAAGTGGAGCTGTGGCTCAAGTGTAGAGAGCTAGCCTTGAGCACAGAGAAGCTCAGGGACAGTGCCCAGGCCTTGAGTTCAAGTCTCATGACCAACCAAAAAAAGAAAAAAAAAGACTTCTTGAAAGCCTACACAATGATTACCATCTGCCTACTTAGTGTCTTTAAGCAAATAATTATTTGTTCTAAGTAATATGCAGCTGTTATTACATGCCACCATGCAGTGTCCTGGTCCTTGGTCCCATCTTGGATCCAATACTTTAATTTAGTCCTTTCATGGCTATTTGATTGATTATAGCGAAGAGAATATTCATGGCCAAAGGAATTTCATCTTGTATGTTGTGTGCTGACCATTTTCATACCTTTTATGGAATGTATGAAATTTGTTTAATATATTTTTGGCAATAGATGATCTGTAATTTTTTCATCCTCCCCTCCTCTTCCTCCTCCTCCTCCTCCTTTTTTTTTCTCTCTCCCTTCCTTCCTCTCTCCCTCTCCCCCTCTCATTTTCCTGAGCACTTTTACTCAAGGTTGGCGGGCACTCTACTACTTGAGCCACAGCTCCACTTCTGGCTTTTTTGGTGGTTAATTGTATGTAAGAGTCTCATGGACTTTATTGCTTAGGCTGGCTTCGAACCACGATTCCCAGATCTCAGCCTCCTAAGTAGCTAGTATTACAGGTGTGAGCCACCAGCACCCAGCCATATCAGCATTTTTTTTAACAATGATTTGACTTTTGTGATACCAGATCCTGCTTAGGAGTTTTGGATAGATCTAATCTATAAATATCCCTCCTGGGAATGCAAAACCTTCTCCACTTTCCCCCTTCATTGGAGGGCATATGTTCACAGCCTGGTCCTTTCCCTGCTCCTTGCATAGCATTTTCCTAATTAAAATTTCCGTCTTTCCAGGCACTGGTAGCTCACACCTGTAATCCCAGCTACGCAGGAGGCTGAGATTTGAGGATCCCTTCAAAGCCAGCCTGGACAGAAAAGTTTGTGAGAGTCTTATTTCCAATAAACTGATCAGAAAAGTGGAAGTGGCTTTGTGGCTCAAGTAGTAGAATGCTAGCCTTGAGTTAAAGAACTGAGGGACAGTGCCCAGGCCCAGAGTTCAGGTCCCATGACCACCACCAACAACAAAAAATTCAATCAATACAGGCTGACCATTACAGGAACTCTATTTTTATAAAGCTTCCTTGATGTAAAAATTTAATTTGTTATTAATTTAAGCATTTTGGTCTCCCATTAATATTATGCAAAAAAGAATACATCAAGATGATTAGCTTTTGGAAGGACCAAGGGAAAAATACAATTCTAGTGTTGAGTGAAAATCAAGAATAGCATATTGTATACAAATTAGCTTTATGTGGTTGTATGTGTCAGTATTGGGGCTTGAACTCAAGGCCTGGGTGCTATCCCTAAGCTTTTTTCTCAAGGATGGTACTCCCCTTCTGGCTTTTTGCTAATTAATTGGAGTTAAGAGTCTCATGGATTCTGTTCAGGCTGGGTTTGAACCAGGTTCTATTCCCAACATTACCTTATGCACAAAAGGTGCCTTGGCAAAGGATTCTGGATTTTTAAATTATTGTTATTATCTTTAAGTAGTTGTACAAGGGGGTTTTGATGCAACGTCAGTTGATGAGTACAGTGCATCTTGATCCATGTCACCCTTTCCATCATTCTCCCCCATCTCTCCCAACCCCACCCCTCCCCTCAAGTCACCTGCTTCCATTTTCTTATCTGTACATTGAATATGATGACTGCATTCTCCCATCCTTCCTCTTGCCATTCATCTACTCTCCAAGAGGATTTGTAAGGGCAAATATAAATCATGGAACAGAAGTAATTGAAACTGATTTCATTTCCTACAAAAATAGTGGAGTCAGCAGTTTTGTCTTGGGAAACGTTGGGAGTATTTTGCACTTAGGATCTGTGATGTATACCTTTCAGTCTGTTTCTGTCTTTCTTCTTTGTTGTTGAAAAACATTATCCAATGCTACTCACAGTGGGGAGATTTTACAACAAAACACATAGTATTGTAGGAGTTCCTTAACTTTCCTTTGTTTTCTTGCGTGTTGAATGTAGCTCACTATGTATGTATGCATATGATCAATCAGACTGCATAGATGCAGTCTTAACTGTCCCTGTTCCCGTCCTTGCTACAATTTGCATTGAGATAGTTTATGAAATTTTTAAAAAGGATCTTCTAGTAGTGATGCTAATGCATTCGACCTAGCAAAATGATCAAATTATTCATCAGACTGAATATACTCCATTTTTCTTCTTCTTCTTCTTCTTCTTCTTCTTCTTCTTCTTCTTCTTCTTCTTCTTCTTCTTCTTCTTCTTCTTCTTCTTCTTCTTCTTCTTCTT